TAACATTTAGGAGTCATAACTTAAATAAATGGGGAAGGGTCTATCCTTGTAAATAATATTGATTCCCGAGAGATAACCTTCGAAGGATCATAACCCAATCCATTTCGATTGAATAACCCGCCAACATCCATTACAGATTCCTTCTTTAAAATCTCTCCCATTTTTTATCCACTTTGTTCCACTTGACTTGAATCCTTTGGTTGCTTTCTTTGGGTCAGCTCCTCGATGGCCACCAAACTGATTAGGAAAGCCAACAGAAAAATAAAGGATAACGAATCAATAGCAAGGGTGGGAAGACTGGGGAAACAAGGGGATTGAGGGCCAGAATGGCTTGCACCTCGTATTAAAGAGGGGGCAATTTATGGCCACACTTGGGGGAATACCGAAAACGAAATTGCAAATATTTAGCCATATACTTATACGGCAACACACGCACATGCATGTGCACACTGGAAAAACATGTCCGATACTGGTTAATTATGGTTTATTTTATGTGTTTTTATATCTTAATCCTATCAAGATTTATATTAAATCCTACCACACAATTATGGTTTTTATTTGAACATAGTTTTCTCTGTGCCATAAAAATCTCGTCGCCTAAAAGTGTGCTATACTTTGTATGCACGACTGTAGCTGGAGAACAAATATTTTCAGACTGAGTTCTGACCCCTTTTTTTACGAGTGTACTGCTGGCATGAGTGCACAGTGTTCGTACGAATCTGTCTATTGCTCATGTCTATGACAGCAGAGGCGAAGCCGCAGCGACGTGCCGCAAAATATTCGCCAAAAGCATGCAACCCAAATTTGAGGAAAGGGTGAAGCACTGGTGGGGGGGAGGGTGTTGTGTGGGGGATGCCGGCCTTTGCAACATGTTGCCTTTGCCTCTGGTGTCTCGCTATATTGTTTTGGACGGCGAGCGCATCAATTTCTACACAAATTCAACATACACTCACTTCGAAAAGACCAACAAAAAAGGTAAAAAAAAAAAAGTAAAAACCCAAAAAGCAGCGAATATAGTAGGTAGGTGGATTTGGCTGCGCTTCATGTGTGCAATATCAAATTTGAAAACACAAACACAGTACGGATAGCCACAGACACAGACAGAGGAGGAGTGGAAGTGGAAGTGGAAGTGGGATTGGGATTGGGATTGGGAGTGGGACAAAGAGGCGAACGCCAAGGATTCCCCCGATGCAGGCGCTTAAGAAGTTTCAGACATGAAATCAATTTGTCTTCCAACTCCCACGAAAACGAAAACGAACCGAAACCGGCAAATGCAACAGCAAAGGGGGAACCCCACTTCCATCCCCACGATCCCAAAAATGGAATGAAAGCAGCCAGCAAACTGCTGCGGGAAAACAGCGGCGATTCCCAATTCGAATCAAGCCGAATCAGCAATGCACTTATCCTGAAGAGCACAATACATCTAAGAATTTTTCATATTCGAAATTCCTTGCCTTCCAGTTCATCTATAAAATTACTACAAATAAAAGTCAGAGCTTTATTTATATTTTATTGTGTTTCTTTAACGATTCGTTAATGTAAATGTCTGGTCTATAGAATACTACATGTTATAATTTTTCGATCATAACACACCAATAAACATATTAAAAGAATTTAAAGATTTATTTTTTTCTGTAACGATTCGTTCCCACCTTGTTGTCTATAATATAATAAAAATGTGAAACTTTTCTAAGCATAGCACATAATGATCTTTACTACTGGTGATCATTTTTGCAAATAGAAAAGCATCGTTTTGACTTGATTTTCAAATTTTACAGTGTTAAGTAAAAAGATTATGAATGAATTACTGTGAAGCCCCTGCCATCGAAGGACATCTTTTAAAGGGCATCAAATGGGCAGGCAGCCAGGGAAGCATCCGCATCCGCATCCGCATCCTCATCTGCACGGTTCGAGTTGGAGTCAGAGTCAAAGCCAGTCATGTGGCAAGTCACACACCCGGATCCACACATGTGGTGTTGCAATAACTTGTATTTTAAGTTTACTCACTGCTGGGATTCAAAATTTAATTTCATAGTGCGATGCGTTGTTATTATTTTGCATAATAACATTTCTGGCCCCCAGTTTCCAAGCCGAGCTCGCTGATGTTTTTGGCTTGTGGATGTGAATGGGTGGTTTGGTTTGGTTTGGTTTGGTTTGCCTTGGTTTGGGAGTGGAAATTCGAAATTGGAGCTTGGCCTGAGGACTGAGGACTGACCGACTGTGCAATCGAATCAGGCCTATTAGACTCCGTTCGGCGCATTAGCAGTACGTAATGGATGGAGGGAAGCGAACCCAGAACAACCGGACTTTGACACCAGACACTAAATGCCTCATCAGCATTCCAATGAGTGTTTATCTGGGTGTGTGAGTGGATTTGCGTTTGGGCTAATTAAATGTGACCGATGGCAACGAAAATGGTTCGAAGGCGCAAATAAACCTTTTCAGTGTGTGGTTTATTTGTCAAACGAGACAAATCGGGTTAATTCAGAACGTCAAGAATCAACATAGAAATGTAGTATTACATTGCCTGTTGCTAAGAGTTTTCACAAAAATAAACTCAAATATAATTTAAAAAAAAAAAAAAGTTTCTGAAAAGCAACCAAACTGAATTTCAAAACTTAAGGGGACCCCCCCATTCTCGATTTCAAATTTTGACGATTTTTAATGGGCTGGTAAATGAACACATATTATATTTTTGGGCTTTTAACTTTGCATCCATTTATTTGAAGTCTTAAAAAAGAAGAACAAAAATTGTACAACTTTTTTTTTTTGTTTTTTGTCATTAAACAAAAGCTCTTCTTTTCGGCGGCGCTTGTGATTTCCGCTCACTGGAACATCTCAAACCAAAAATTCCAACGGGCTTAGGAAGAGTATATTTTTGGCTCTGGCATGAACTAGGATTATTAAATTCGCACAAAAATAAACAAAATGGCGGACATTTGAAACTTTTTTCTGAAAATCGCCTTCTTTTCAGCCACAAATCTAGTTGAAAAGTAAAGAAGATCTTCACCGATTTGATTTATCCTAGTTCATGCCATAGCTATATATGTATAGAATAACGTATTAAAATTTGGAACCGATTGAAATAAAAGTTTTTGAGTAACCTCATGCGCCAGTCGTAAAAATACTGTTTCGAGAAAAACGCGTTTAAAGTTTTGCGAAGCTCTCGCCGTCGCCTGACGCTTTCATTATAAATCGGCTAAATCCTGAAAAGTTTTTGAAATTTTCACTTGAAATTTTAAAGGAACATTCTTGAATAGTTATAGGTTCGAATTAAATAAAAAAAATCCATTTTTTGAAACCGAGCATGGGGGGTCCCCTTAACTACCCTTGATAAATCGGGCCAAAGCGTGTCAAGTATAATTGCTTAGGATAGGTTTCAAGCAGCTTTGATACTATTCAAGGCAATGCTTGAGTACCCAATATAGTCCGTATAGCTACCACATAATGGCTGCCAAATAGAAAGAATAAGCACTTTGGAACCCGGTCCACCAAGCCGGTTTTAGAGCGTCGAAATTGCCTTTTTATTGACAATTCACAGCACGCGCCGTGCAAACAGATCATCAAAGGATATTACGAGTACGAAAAAGGTTCTTTTGTTGCTGTTGTAAATAGATTCATAAATAAAACTACAGCCCGACAGTCGCGAGACACAAAAAAGGAGCCAAAAAAAAAAAAGAATGAAAAGAAATCCTGCAAGTGAAAGTGCTAACACTTGAAGGAGTGTGCTGCAAGGGTACAGGATATATGCATGTCTCCGCGGGATAAAGGCAACTTTCAGTCTGAATGTCAAAGTTTGAGCCTGGCAGTACTTTGAAATATTCATAAGTGTCTACACTAACGAAAAAATAATGTTGGCGGAAATGAAAAAAGAAACTTTACCATACATTGATTCAATATGATAGCAAAGAATATAATCAAATTAAAAGTTGGAAAAAAATAATGTTGGGAACACTATTTTCTAAAAACAAACTTCTAAAGCGAAATCTGCAGATTCTTAAAAACTTTTTTTTTAAGTATAAGAGAGACTCCAGACTTCAACACCGACTCACCCAACATTGCAAGTAAAAAACTTACACACAGTCATAAAGCAATAAAGCGAAATCATGTGTAGAAATTTTTATAAGTTGGGTGTATCATCCAAGTGCCAAATGCTCAAGGATCTTTGGAATGTGCGGGGTGGCGGGTTCGTGGGGGGCATGGCGAGTGCAAGGACTTTCCACTTTCCTTGGGCAAATCCCAGCAAAGAGCTTAAGGTTTCCGCTCAATTGTTTTGCCCGACTTTATTTCATTGCCATTTTTATACCACTGCTTTTTGGGTGAGTTATAAGAGACTTTAAGCGAAATCCAAATGCATATTTATGGAGCTTAGATCTGATAGTTGGTAAAAATCAGTTAAAATAAGTAAAAGGAACCAGAAAGCTTTTTTAAATAGTTTTAGAGTATTTTAGTTATTAGTATTTTAGAATGAACATTAATATTCGACATATATTCAAAAACTTTGTAGTTTTAAGATAAAAGTTGTATATATATATTGCTCTATATAGCAAAGTTAATCTGTGAATAACCATAATCCAAAATGTTAACAATTTAAATTATACAAAGACAGCCACATTTTTTTTGAAAAATTTTTTATTTGCATTTTTGTAATCAGGGGCTCAACTCTAAATGTCAGTGTCTTCGGAGCTCTATTTCTTGTGTTGTCCACTAGTGAAATCTAATTTTCTTATTAGGAAGTTTATTTCTTGCTCTTCAACTCTGCCAAAGTCACACATAAATATTATGCAAATAAGAAAATGTCATAAGCACCAAGGTTTTTCCGTTATGAACGGCTTAAACAACTCGAATTGCAGCAGTTACTGCATCACTGTTTACATCAACGTTTTTGTTTGTCCAGCGAAAACACGGGACTGCAAAAACACCTGCATTTGATCCGACTATATCCGATTCCATGGGCATCTCCGCAGTATATAAAGGGGTTAATAAGTGGCAAGTAGAGTCAGTTGAATTTGTTCAGTCAATCATCTACAAAACCAAAACAATCAAAATGCGCGTCTTCTTCCTCGTTGCTCTGCTCGCCATGGTGGCACTGGCCACTGTTCAAGGACGTCGTGGAGGTCAGGGACCGCCGCAGGGTTCAGGAGGTCAGGGACCGCCCCAGGGAGGCCAGGGCCCACCGCAGGGCGGCGCCGGAGGCCAGGGACCACCTCAGGGTGGACCCGGTGGTCAGGGACCACCCCAGGGTGGACCCGGTGGTCAGGGACCTCCCCAGGGAGGCAACTCGTCCTCCTCCCAGGAGGCATCCTCCCAGGAGAGCTCCAGCGAGTCATCCGCCTAGGAACATCACTGCTCCTTGCGGTAACTCGATCGTCGAGTCCTTACAATACAAAAAAAAACACTTTTAAAACTCTTTGAATAAAGATATATATTCTGATTATTTCAAAACAAAACCGTGTACTGATTCCATTAGCCAGGAAAATTTCCATTTTCAGATCGGCGTAATGGTAAGTCCTGGCAGGAGCATGGCAATGGGAGTGGGAATGGGTGTAGGGGGCGTGGCCCAAATCGGCTGCCTAAATAAGAAATCATTTTATTTGAAAAGTTTCCCTTTGGCACGCCCCCTCAAGCGTCCGCCCCCCACTTTTCGCTGGCAGAAAGCGGCGACGTCTGCGTTGGCGACACCAGCAACATCAGGCGAAACAAAAACAACGACAGCAACAGACAACAACAATAAAGGGTATCGAATTCGAAATACCCCCTAAAATTCAACTACCCAATGATGGGAATATTCAATATTAGACTGGCTTATCATTTATTTGGTATACGAGTATGAACTTTAATAATGTATATTTCAAACACATGACAGAGCACAAGTTTGTAGTTAAAAATATATTTTATACCAATTTGTTTTTTGTATCTAATTTATTAATGGGTAATCAAATGGTGTATATCCTGTCAAAAACTGGCGGCCAAAATAAGAGCAAGACGATGAATAGCAAAGGCAACAAAGTTAAACTGTAACAATAACCAAAGTCAAAGTTTGTCGGCAAAGTTTTCGCCTTTTTCGTCCTTTTTGCTCTCGTTGTTGTTGCATGCGTGCGGCTGTCTGTGTGTGTGTGTGTGTGTGTGTGTGTGTCCACAGGATACAAATTCATTTCAATTGGTTATATGTAGAGAAATGGGTTTGAGTGGCCTGACTGAGGGAAGTTGAAAAGTGGGAACGACGAGGAATCTGTGTAAAATGAGTTTGGTTTTTTTTCCCCCCATTTTATTTTATTTTCGTTGCCATTGCCGTTGTACTTTTCAAGATGAAACAAGTTTCACGTGGCAGGGGACCCTGTGGAAGGACTCTGGATTCTGGATTCTGGGCCAGGACATGCCGCATCGCATACCTGCAGACTTCTCTCGCTTCACTTTCTTTTGGCAGCGAAATGCCAAAGAAATGCAAATAAAACTTTTCTTTTGTTTTGCTTTCGGCTTTTTGCCCGTCGTGGTTTAGCAGCTCAACCCTTGCAGGGCCCACACGCCCACACGCCCACCCGCCCAACTTCCGCCCACTTAGCAGCAACAACAACTAGAAAAGCACAGAAAAGAACAACAGAAGAGCAAAAAACTAAAATGAAACTAAGTGTGGCAATTTTAACTTCACTCAAAATGCAACGAAAATCGTTCGAAATGAAAGTGCTTAAAAATGCACAGGGAAAACGTCATGAATTTTATAATTTTAAATTGAACAAGAAAGGAAAGCTAACTTCGGGCGGAGCCGAAGTTGATATACCCTTGCAGAATACTCTGTAAATTATATTCTCCAAAATTATTCATATGATGCATTCTTAATACTCATAAAAAATCCCAACTTCCTAACTTTAAAAACACCAAAGTTATGGCATTTCCAATCATTCAGTTATGTATATGGCAGCTATAGAATATAGTCGGCCGATCCTTATGAAATTTAATATGTCGGATTGATTGGGCAAAAATAAAACCCATAGAAAATCCCAACTTCCTAACTTAACAAACACCAAAGTTATGGCATTTCCGATCAATCAGTTATATGGCAGCTATAAGATATAGTCGGCCGATCCTTATGAAATTTGGTAGGTCGGATTAATTGGCCAAATATAAAACCCATAGAAAATCCCAACTTTCCAACTTTACAAACACCAAAGTTATGGCATTTCCGATCAATCAGTTATATAGCAGCTATAGGATATAGTCGGCCGATCCTTATGAAATTTGGTATGTCGGATTGATTGGCCAAATATAATACCCATAGAGAGTCCCAACTTCCTAACTAAACAAACAGCAGAGTTATGGCATTTCCGATCAATCAGTTATATGGCAGCTATAGGATATAGTCGGCCGATCCCGGCCGTTCCGACTTATATACTGCGTGCAAAGGAAAGAAGGGTGTGTGCAAAGTTTCAATTCGATATCTTTAAAACTGAGAGACTAGTTCGCGTAGAAACAGACAGACGGACAGACAGACGGACAGACAGACGGACAGACGGACAGACGGACAGACGGACAGACGGACATGGCTATATCAACTCAGGAGGTGATCCTGATCAAGAATATATATACTTTATAGGGTCGGAGATGTCTCCTTCACTGCGTTGCACACTTTTGACCAAAATTATAATACCCTCTGCAAGGGTATAAAAATTATAAATCAATAGTGAAATAAATCTGAATATTTGGTAATTAACTATATTTAACGTAATAGTTAAAACACAAAAATGGCATAAAATATAACAAGAAAGGAAAGCTAACTTCGGGCGGAGCCGAAGTTGATATACCCTTGCAGAATACTCTGTAAATTATATTCTCCAAAATTATTCATATGATGCATTCTTAATACTCATAAAAAATCCGAACTTCCTAACTTTAACAACAACAAAGTTATGGCATTTCCAATCGTTCAGTTATATGGCAGCTATAGGATATAGTCGGCCGATCCTTATGAAATTTGGTAGGTCGGATTGATTGGCCAAAAATAAAATCCATAGAAAATCCCAACTTCCTAACTTTACAAACACCAAAGTTATGGCATTTCCGATCAATCAGTTATATGGCAGCTATAGGATATAGTCGGCCGATCCTTATGAAATTTGGTAGGTCGGATTGATTGGCCAAAAATAAAATCCATAGAAAATCCCAACTTTCTAACTTTACAAACACCAAAGTTATGGCATTTCCGATCAATCAGTTATATGGCAGCTATAGGATATAGTCGGCCGATCCTTATGAAATTTGGTAGGTCGGATTGATTGGCCAAATATAAAACCCATAGAAAATCCCAACTTCCTAACTTTACAAACACGAAAGTTATGGCATTTCCGATCAATCAGTTATATGGCAGCTATAGGATATAGTCGGCCGATCCCGGCCGTTCCGACTTATATACTGCGTGCAAAGGAAAGAAGGGTGTGTGCAAAGTTTCAATCCGATAGCTTTAAAACTGAGAGACTAGTTCGCGTAGAAACAGACAGACGGACAGACAGACGGACAGACAGACGGACAGACGGACAGACGGACAGACGGACATGGCTATATCAACTCAGGAGGTGATCCTGATCAAGAATATATATACTTTATAGGGTCGGAGATGTCTCCTTCACTGCGTTGCACACTTTTGACCAAAATTATAATACCCTCTGCAAGGGTATAAATATATATAATTTAAATTGAAATAATATGATTCAATAGTGAAAAAATTGGAATATTTGGTAATTAAATATATTTAACGTAATAGTTAAAACCCAAAAATGGCATAAAAGTATTACTCAATATATTGTAAATTGCTAAATAAAATAAATAAATATTTATTTATTCTTAGCAGTAAGAAACCTAAAATATATAAATCCTTAATAAACATTATACAAGTTGTACAGAGCTATTTATATATAAATATTTTAGACAATTGTTGTTTAGTATATTATGAAGTAGTACAAAGCTAATGGGTGACACTAAAAATTGTTTACAAAAAATCCGATACAATAGTCCGATGGCCCTTTTGCCACTTTAAGCTCAGTTTTTTACAAAAAGTAATTCCCGACCATCGAAATAAAGTTAACCAGGCTGCAAATTGTTCTCTGTTTTGATAACAGACCGTTTTCTGTCGCCATCTTTTTACTCCAGTCATTTCCCCAACGCCATTGCATTTTCCAACTATTCATTACCAACATTTGACTCTCACTTGCACAAACAACAATGGAAGTAATACGAGCAAAAACTTAATTAAGCATTTTGTTGTACGATGCTGCAAATTCCTCTTTAATTAAAGCACCGAAGCAATTTATTCAAATTAACAAAAACAACTTCATGGCATGCATATGTGTGTGTGGATGAGGGGGAGGCTAAAAATTACGAAATGTTATAGGCATCAGATGGAAATAATTGAACGAAAACATCTTCCAATACTGCAAATGACAGGTAATTTCATTTCTATCCAATTTTGCAGAGAGGTATTTGGATATAACATATATTTAGTAAATTCAAAGACCACGATCAACCAAAAACGATAGGTTTTATAACTATTTAGCAGATTTAAAAGTAATTGTGATAAATACAAAATGGTATAATAATAGGGTTCCCCGAATTGGTCACGATTTCCTTGCTCTTTAAGTGCTTTCAACTTCAGTTGTTAAAAAACTTTGCTTTCATTTTGGAGTACTTAAGTCACTTGTTCAAACATTTCCTTATAAACGGGCCATTGTGGAATACTCTTATGTAAGTCATACTCATAAACATTATTGATGCTTTGCAAACTAAAAGTCCACTGACGCCTGGTCAGAAATAGGATTATACATCTATTGTTGACAAATATTTAGCTAAGATATTGACACAAAACACAGGCCCGGATCATTAGTTGTTTAAATAATGCAAGAACATTTTATTGTGTAATAAATTTTTCAAGAAAATAATAATATAACATCCATAGTATTAAAACAAACACATTTTTGTCAAAGCTTTCTAATATTTTCTATTAAAATCATTTCGTACAGAATTTTTTACAGAACTTACAGAAGAAAAATGTTTTTATCTCTAAAATTAAATGTATTTAAAAAAAAATATCAAAATTGTTGTTAGTAACGTATAGTAACGTTAATACTCTAAAAAATATATCAATCTGAAGAATTTGCTCAATAATTTTGTTCAAATATAATAAACGAGGATTTTTTTTAAACTAAATATTTTCTGTCTATCACAACTCCATAACGAAGGTCAATGTGAAGTGACTGACTTGGTCAGTGGAATTTACCTAATCCACACTGACGATAGTTTGCTTAGCCGGCACACGTCATCCATGGGACACTTGTGCGGATCGGACTTTTCCAAGACAGCGGGTATATATAGAGCTAGTGGTGGATGCCGAGATCAGTTCCAGTCGTTCACTGTCCGATAACGAAATGCGTACCCTCATCCTTGTTGCTCTTGTTGCCCTGGTCGCTGTGGCCTCCGCCCAAGGTCCTGGAGGTCCTGGTGGTCCTGGAGGTCCATGGGGCCGACGTGGTCCAGGTGGCCCAGGAGGTCGTGGTCCAGGTGGACCAGGAGGTCGTGGCCCGGGTGGTCCAGGAGGTCCAGGAGGTAGAGGTCCAGGCGGACCAGGAGGTCCAGGTGGTCCAGGAGGTCCAGGAGGTCCAGGAGGCCCAGGAGGCCCAGGAGGTCCAGGAGGTCCAGGACCTTGGAAACCACCATGCAACCAAACTACCACCACAGCGGCCCCCACCAGCACTTCATCCACAGCTTCCTCCACCACAGTGTCTTCTACCACGGTGTCCTCCACAGAATCCTCCACGGTGTCCTCCACGGAATCCTCCACGGAAGCCTCAACAGCTTCTTCCACGCAATAATAATTCAATTGAAATGTTCACGTTTGAAGTTTGTCTTTTGTGAACAATAAAGATTGATTTTTGTGCATATGAAACCACGTCGTTAACTATTTCTAAAACTTGGGAAATGGGATTTAATATTTTTATTTTGCCAAATAATGTTCAAGGTATATTAGTTTTTTTTTAATCTTGTAATGACTAATAAAACCCAAAAATACAAGCCAATATTTAAGTTCAGATTTTTTTAGTATTAAACCACAATTATTTAGAAGTCTGGCACCTTGGAATCGGATGTCTGTAAGAAAAGTTATGGTCTTAGAAAATTTAAAAATGACCAAAATCGACCCAAAAATACTAACTAAAGTGAATCACAGATTTTTATACCCTTGCAGAGGGTATTATAATTTTGGTCAAAAGTGTGCAACGCAGTGAAGGAGACATCTCCGACCCTATAAAGTATATATATTCTTGATCAGGATCACCTCCTGAGTTGATATAGCCATGTCCGTCTGTCCGTCTGTCCGTCTGTCTGTTTCTACGCAAACTAGTCTCTCAGTTTTAAAGCTATCGAATTGAAACTTTGCACACACCCTTCTTTCCTTTGCACGCAGTATATAAGTCGGAACGGCCGGGATCGGCCGACTATATCCTATAGCTGCCATATAACTGATTGATCGGAAATGCCATAACTTTGGTGTTTGTAAAGTTAGGAAGTTGGGATTTTCTTTGGGTGTTATATTTGGCCAATCAATTCGACTTACCAAATTTCATAAGGATCGGCCGACTATATCCTATAGCTGCCATATAACTGATTGATCGGAAATGCCATAACTTTGGTGTTTGTAAAGTTAGGAAGTTGGGATTTTCTATGGGTGTTATATTTGGCCAATCAATTCGACTTACCAAATTTCATAAGGATCGGCCGACTATATCCTATAGCTGCCATATAACTGATTGATCGGAAATGCCATAACTTTGGTGTTTGTAAAGTTGGGAAGCTGGGATTTTCTATGGGTTTTATATTTGGCCAATCAATCCGACCTATCAAATTTCATAAGGATCGGCCGACTATATCCTATAGCTGCCTTATAACTGAACAATTGGAAATGCCATAACTTTGGTGTTTTTAAAGTTAGGAAGTTGGGATTTTTTATGAGTATTAAGAATGCATCATATGAATAATTTTGGAGAATATAATGTACATAATATTCTGCAAGGGTATATCAACTTCGGCTCCGCCCGAAGTTAGCTTTCCTTTCTTGTTATAGAATTAAATCACAATCATTTTGAGGTATGCCGCATTAAAATCGGTCTGTAAGAAAAGTTATGGGCTCAGAAGTGCAGTTTTTTGTCACTTTTCCACAAAACCCATAACGGAAGCTAACATCGGCAAGCAGAAGTCTTAATACCCTTGCGGACTGAAATTGCTAAAATTGAAAAGTAGCGAAAGGAATAAGGTATACATAAATAAACTATATTTGCATAGTGTCAATAGCTTTTATACTGCAGCCTTTAATAATTTTTCTTGCGGAAGCTATAAGATATAGACGTCCGATCGGCAAGCGCTTTTACCCTGACCAAGATATCCGTAAATAAATAAGACTTGGAAAAATTGATGTCAATAGCTTACACACTGCGCGCTATATTCTGAAAAACCGATTTCACCCTACTGTTCCTATAGGAGCTGTAGGATATAGACGTCCGATCAGCACACGCTTTTACCTTAATCAAGGTATGCATACAAAAATAAGATTTGGAAAGATTCATGTCAATAGCTTTTACACTGCGCGAAATATCTTCCATTCTTGCTAATTATATCCGATTGTTCCTATGGGAACTATACGATATAGACATCCGATTGGAACGGTTCTCAAACTTGATCTGCTTACAGTTTAGGACGTACAGTTTAGGACGACTGTGAAAGTTTCAGATCGCTAGCTTTTAAACTATATTGAAACAGACGGACAGACGGACAGACGGACAGACGGACATGGCTATATCAACTCCCCTATTGATCCTGATCAAGAATACGGACTTTATGGGGTCGGAAACGTCTCCTTCACTACGTTACAAACTTCTGACCAAAATTATAATACATGGGTATAAAAATACTGAGAACATATTTCTTGTAATTCGTTTCGGGTCGCTTTTATCGGTTTGAGGAGAACTGTCTGTTACATCACGGGAATTGTTTTCTACCTCCAGCTGGTTTATCTCATCGTCGTGGACCTCCTTGAAAACACGCTCGTCTTGCAAAAAAAAGGATTTCCACCAGGGCTTGGCGTTGGTCACTTCAGGTTGTTCTTGCATCTCCGATGGTTTCTCACCGGGCTCGATGACGCCAGTGGACCTCGGAAGAGGTGTCCTATTGGCCTTAGGCGAAGGTTGTTTTCTGCCATGACTCGGGCTTTTGGTCTTCTCGAACTTTGATTTTTTAACGACACGCTTGGCGACACGTCTCGGAATTTCAAGGACCTTGTCCACTTCTTCGGAAGACGGCACCTGCCCCGGCTGAAATTTTGGAGTTTTCTGCCCAACACGCTTTTTGATTGGTCCGCGAGGCCTGGGAAACTCGTCGCCACTGGACACTTCATCGTTGTTGACCTTGATGACCCTTTTCATTCCGCTGACGGTTTTAGAGGTGGGTTCCTTCAGGATCTGGAGGAAAACGGAAGGAAGCCACGGTTTTGTAAATGGATTCCTTCCGCTTTTCTCCATATCCTGAAGCAAGCCACCTCCAAAACCGTCCGCGGAAAGAAAAGGGTCATCAAGTGGCTTCCTTCCGTTTTCCTCCAGATCCTGAAGGACCAGGTTTTTCTTCCATATTAAAAGTCGTTTCGTGGGAATTTCAAAATCTACAAATTTATCAAAAGTTGACAATCTAAAAAAATTTTCTAGCTCAAGTTATTTCGAAAATACGTGTAAACAGATTGAGTGCAAAAATAAAACTGAGAAAATAATACAAATGCTATGAAAAGCATATAGAATGTTTGACATAAAGGGCATGGCCTGTTTTTTCACACTAATTAAACACAAAACAATTTTTAAATAAAACAAAAAAGGAAAGCTCACTTCGGACGGAGCCGAAGTTGATATACCCTTGCAGAATATTCTGTAAATTGTATTCTCCAAAATTATTCATATGATGCATTCTTAATAATCATAAAAAATCCCAACTTCCTAACTTTAAAAACAACAAAGTTATGGCATTTCCAAGCGTTCAGTTATATGGCAGCTATATAATATAGTCGGCCGATCCTTATAAAATTCGGTAGGTCGAATCCCAACTTACTAACATTACAAACGGACATGCTTATATCAACTCAGGAGGCGATCCTGATCAAGAATATATATACTTTATAGGGTCGGAGATGTCTCTTTCACTGCGTTGCACACTTTTGACCAAAATTATAATACCCTCTGCAAGGGTATACAAATAACTGAATAGGAGTAGATAATAATTTCTAAAAATAATAAACTAAATTCCCTGCCTCTTTTATTTTTACCAAAAGTCAGAAGACATATCGTAATTGCAAAACACATCCGGTTTTTGAGAGACCAAGAAGCTTATTGAATGCCCAGCAATGAGCCTTTCAATTAGCTTGGCTCACAGTAAAGATTTTCGTAAGTATAGTTATTTTAGCATAATTAGTGCATTGGCATTACACACTGCTAATGCCAAATTAATTGCAGGTGATTGGGGAATGCATGGAGGTTGCAACAATGGGGCGCCGAACAATAGACCATTCCACGGCGCAATTGGCGCTTAGATTCGATTGTGTTTGGTGCTCCACTCATGAACAAACCATTTCCCGCCTGATTGGGAATTAAGTCCAAACCGTACCTATCTCCGGCATGTGCATGTGTGCATGCCAAATTGTTCACTATTTAATTGTATTTGGCCAATTTCCGACGTAACTTTATTTTCAGCTTTCGCCGCACAGAGAAAAACATGTACGCAGCAGCAAGGATCCAAGGCAAAAGTAGGGGCATTTCCCAAAAGAGCTTAGCATGATGATGAGGATGAGCACGAGGAGCGGCAACAGGATTAGGAGGCATTAAAAGTTATAAAACAACAAGATTATGGCTTTGTCATAACAAAGACACATTCAACTGGTTATGTGCGAATAAGCGATGGAGTTTTGTGTGGCCTATAATAAATACTCGTGTTTATGAACAAACCAATTAGCTCATTTCGAATATACAGTTGAGGGATTTCGATTGCTTATTATATTTAATCAATTGAGGAATCTTTAATCGCCAATTAAGGTTACCTCAAAAATTGTAAAGCTGTAATTGTTCAATTTGACGTATTAACTCCTGATTATTATTTATTCAACATTTTGAATTTAAAGACCAAATTTGACCAATTAAAACATGGTTTACTATTGGTTTAATCTCTTACAAATATTTTGGTTTCAATTTTGGGAAAGTGTTTAGGTTTTTTTAATGATGCATCTTTAATTATCAGAAGTCATTTTTAATAGACATTTTTTAAATATCACTAAAATGTTTGCAAAATCGCTTTTTAATTTTTGCAGTTTAACAACATGCTATTTATACTATTATTTTTTGGCAACATCAGTACTAGTATCATTAAGTAATGTGAAGCAAAAAAAACTATATATTTGTATATTAATACCATATACTACTTCATGTTCACCCCTTCTTGGCAACGTGGAGTCCTCTGGGAGTGGGTCAATGTCAGTGGGTCGACGTAAGTTTGACCATGACTTCGTCCTTATCAAATCACGCTTCATCCGTTTAACAATTAGCACCGATAACTAATTTATGGTCAGGATGCGGCATCTAGGATATGGTCTGGGGCAAGGGAAAGGAAGCTGGAGTGGATTGTGGGGTGGAGCGATTACACGTAATAACAATTACAAATGTGCGCGCTCCATAAATCAAATGAAGGCATCTCCTGAAACTTGTAGCCCCCTTTAACACCACCCCTCGTTTTTTGTACCCCTCCTTTCCAAATGAACTGGCAAAAATCCCCTTCCACTTCCCCTTCCCCTTCCCCTTCCCCTTCCCCAATCCGGAATCCCCCTCCAACTGGCGGCTCCTGGGCACTAATTACAATTCAGGACGCGTTGCACTCGAAAGTTGTTGCTCATTCAACACTCGACTTCCAGCGATGAGTTGCGGGGGGGAGGGGGATTGGGGGATTGGGTGGTGGCTAGTGGGTGGTTGACTTCAAAGTGGCATCGCTTCGGTGGGAAGAGGTGGCCCAAAAGTGTTGTTGTAATTAAATTATGTGCCAAGTGACGTTCTCGGAATTGTCCTTACAATCGTTTTGTTCTCCTTTCGACCACACTTAAAAATATAATGGTAATAAAATAATAAATTTAAGATTAAAACACCTCTAAAATGCTTAAAAAGATACAATAGTGTTGGAATTTTTAAAGTTAGGAATCTGCAAAAATGACAAGTTAAAATATTATAAAGAAAATTAAGAATAACTAAATTTATTGTTAATAATAAAATATTTAGAAAATAAAGTCTTCAATCTTAAAAAAAAAAATGTTTAATTCATTTAATTCAGGTTCAAGTTTATTTATTATGAAAACACAAATTATTTTATGTTTCTGTATAAAAAATACATGTTTATAAAAAAAATCTAAGTATTTATATTAGTTACATAATGATCGATAGTAAAAAAAAGTCTACTTCATAAAGATGCCAAATCTGTATATATCTATTTTACGTAACGGATATATTTAAAAATCCCCCATTTTTCTGAGTGCAGCTTGCCAGTCCCCACTTTAGACCCCTTCACAGTCCCTCCTTGCCCTCTTTTGGCCTGTTGCCTGTCGCCTTTTCGCCTGTGCCATCTCAGATGTTGTGGCAAATTAAGTTTGCTTTTGTTCTAGATTAAAAAGGCATTGAAATGTCGACATAGGAGAACGGAGGGAAAAGTGGACGGCTGAGAGCAGACCGATGAGTGGGTGGTAGTAAGCGGCAGTTAAAATGACGCCTTCGGCCAAATTTAGCTAACTTTGTTAAGTTTGTTTTGGCCGTGGGAGCTGAATGTCGGCCGACGCCTCCAAGGGGTTCCATTGGATGATGAAGTGCCCAGACGGCGATAGAGCCACAGATATGCACGGAGTGGGTCTGCGGATGATGGGGACTACGGACGGGGGCTGAAATGGGCAGAAATTAAAAATCAACTGCCGCGTGGGCGAACAAGCCAAGCACTTAAGTAGCTGACCAACTGAGTAATTGAAGGAACTAATTGAAAACGAAGGGATAAAGGGAAAACGGAGCTTAAGATGCACAGAAAAAACGGATATCCTTATAGATATTTGTGTATTACTTGTAATCCAAACTTTTTTAAAAGTAAATTTCAGAATTTATTGCCATTTATAGCCAATTACCAGTTTTGGTTAAATTACTATAACTAAAAGTGAATTGGTTTGAGTTAGTTATAACATTAAAGACAAAATAAAATTTGTTTTATTTAATTAATATTAGACAAACTAATAATTAATTACTTAATTAATTAAGTGTAAAAATTGTATTTTTCTGTTCTTAAATTATTTTGGTATATTTTGGTTCCAAAATCGTTACTGACCTTTTCTAACCATATTGTTTTCAGTGCTCCAGGGTCTCAGTTAAAACATTAACTCTTCTTGTATTTTAGATTGGAGCTGTGTAAATTTGGTCTACAAAAGTAAACTATTTTTCCTCTCCTTTTTTATATTACAATCCAAACACTTAAAGATCTGCTTCATGTTCAAATTTTCTTAGGGGATAGATTTTCCAAACCAAATTAATCAAACATAAATTTGGGAGGCCGAAAGAGAGGCAGGATGTCCAGTGGCAGGACTGCATGCTAATGCAAGGATTCGTCCCAATTCAGATGCAGACCGAAACGAAAATGAAACCGAAATTAAAAGCTGCAAAAAACAATATACGAAATATATATACTTCACTAGCTTGGCAGGCGATTCAATTTGGAATTTCGAATTCCACGCACATATTCCATTAAAGTCGTTGGCGTAATTTTAATTTTGGATTTGGTCCTTTTTTCCCCGGAAGCACTAGCAGAAGCTGGAAGGCAGCAGCTGCTTTAAGGACCCGGGATGAAAAGACGGTAGAATATTAAAGGAACGGTGCCAATCAAATTGAAATTTAATTTGCACAACAATGTGGACACGCAGGAAAAGGAGGTGGTGCGGAAAACTTGACCGGTTAGTAAAAAAAACACTCACCCAAATTATTAAACCCCATCTCCAAGTACGGGGCCACCTAGTTGCCGCCCGTTAGCAGTCCATAAAATTGTGATTTACTCCCGCTGAGATTTCAATTACTGCCGCTTTATTGGCAATAAATTTCCGTATAAATTAGGCGGGCCCAACTCCCAATCCGGATCCGCAAGGGTTAAGGTTAAACAAAGCGGCAAGTAGCCGCACGTAGTCGTCGCGGAAAGGTGAAGTCGGCCGAAAAAGGTCCTTTGGGTCAACTGTGAAGACAGTAAATAAAGAGGTCTCGAATGATAAACGACGCATTGATACTCAGTGTGTCCATAAAATTATTGGATTTGTTGCAGTAGTTCGTATATTGTATTTTTAAAACTGGAAATATAAACTTTTATGGCCAAAAATAATATTGCCATAGACAAAATCTGAATTTGAACTTCAATTATAACTTTTTTTGCTTATAGTTTGGAAGCCAAAAATCAGTACCATATGGCGATAAAAAATATTTTAAGACGAAGACAAATTATTCCTAACTTTCAGAATCTATTATATACATATAATGTATACATTTAAGATGTTTTATAGCTTCTTTACATATATTTCTTTCCACATATGTCTTTGCATATATTTATTGTCAATCCTTAAGCTACTTTTTAACTATGAACTATAAAGCCTATTCTTTTTTAGAAAAATCCTGACTAAATAATAAATATGCCCCTTGTATTTTCCAGGATAGCACTTATAAAAATTGATTGCCACGCAAATAAAAATTCAACGATTTCTTTGGCACGTCCATGTCGTCATCGTCGTTGTTAGGAAATCCATTGACGACTCTTTAAATCTCTCTGCCCAGACAAAAACAGGTTTTGTTTTGTTTTCCTGGAAACGCGGAAAATATCAAAGCCGCTTCCGAGGCTGCCAATCACGAAGTCCCGCAGTTGGGGTCGGAGCCCAACAACTTCCGCTCCGTGGAAGTCCCAACCAAGCTGACTCCTTTGAAGACAAGGGGGCACAGTACTTATAGCTTAGGAACTTCTTTAAGCCATGCAAATTATTTTAATTTATATTGCATTTTACTTTTACACATACCTATTAGGAATACCGTTTTAACTAAGCAATCAAATATTGTTGCATTCAAATACTGTAAACTCTCTTAAATTAAATCAGAATCCTTAGGAAATTATTTGAGTGATGTTTAGCTCAAATTACGAAATAAAGTATATAAATGAGAATTAACTACAACCATTGTTTATCAAATAAGAATTAGTTAGATTTTGAAAACCAACATTTTAAAATTATAGGTAAAGAAGAAGTGACTGGATGGAAATGGAATTCCCTTATTATTCAAATGAATATGAGTGTTTATTGTGTATATTATCCTAAGGCTTATCACAAAATCTCGTTCTTCCAGAGCAGTGGACTCCCACAACCTACAGATACTGCGAATCCGCGTAAAGGTCACGAAACTCGAGCAACTGATCCAACGCCGTTTCGTAGTCATCACGCTCCAATCCGGAATTTGAGTGCGCTTGCAACTTGGCGAGCTGCACACGATGTGTCTGGGCGTGCAAATTGTCCAGGTGCTCGCCCAATTTGGTAGAGTTCTGCAGAGCGGCCAGCATGGGTGCGGAATCCACACGAGTACCCGGCTCACGTTCCGATTCTCCCGGCAAGCGTAAGCCATTACCAGAGATGCCAACCGAAAACATCTCATAGGGAAAGGGCAGCTGCGTCTTCAGAGGCAGTGGAGTAGCTGCTGCATTCGTGACACTGCCGTGATAGCTGCACTGGTAGTACAGCTGCAACATGTGGGATACACTATCGCAGCCATAGGCGGCCATTCGCAGTTGCTCTCCGGCCTGCTCCCTGGGGCGCTTCAAACGCTCTGCGGGAATGCCACGAGCCGTCACCGATTGCATCACATAGGAAGTGCCCGGTTCGCAGCCCGGCGTGAGTTGCGTTAGCAGCGCATGGTCTCCGCTTTGGTCCAGAAACTCTATTAGATCCTGACCTTCCCGCAGTCCAAATGGAAGAGCCATTCCTGCGGCGGTCATCTTCCGGCCCGAAGGAGAAACTCGCTCGCAGAACCGTAGCAGGGATTCCGGCGTTTGTCGAAGACGGTAGCCCAAGGTGGCCGTGTCCAAAAAGGCAGCTAGCAAGGCCGACGTTTGGTAGAGATTATCTGCCTGCCATTGAATTCCTGGCAAACTGCGCGACTTGAGGTTTGTGTTCCGCCAGATGGTCTCCAGCGTGGACAGTGGCGTGAACATTGCAGCCTGCTCGCTGAGCTGATTATAGCTTAAGACACTGTTTACCACCCGAATGCTGTGCGACAGGCGGGAATCTGAAAGAAGGAAACAATGTTTACAAGATCCCCTTGCTTTGAGGTCATCTTACTCACCCGCTTGAGGATAACTGGTGATTCTGGGATGGTGCAGCGGCAACGCAAAGCTAGCTCGGCTATACTCATCGTTCAGGTGCTCCAGACACTTCACGGCCAGCCCGCCGAAGCCATCGTCAATGTCGAAAAGCACATGGAAGCCCTGCAGTCCATCGCATTCCTCCACATACAAGCGAATGCGATCGCAGAACTCGTCGTTGAAGGCGGCTCCCTGCCACAGTTCTGTTCCGGCGGAATAAGTGCCCAGCGCTTGGACAGTCGGATCCCTCACCAATCCCGGCAATATGTTCAGAGTGCGCGGATGATACCGAGCGTACAGAAAGTCTGCCCAACTGTTCGCAGTCTCCGCCAGCTTGTAGTTCTTTTCGGGAGCCACGGAATTCTTCAGCAGATCGCGTTGATACTCGGAGATGGGGGCCTGTGGCTGCTCCTGCACATCCAGATGCTGCGAAGCGGACACGCCGCTCTCCTCCGCCTGCTGGCGAGCCCGTTGCAGTTCCTCGCCTGTGCCCAGGGGCAGCAATTCCCCATCGCGCTGTACGAAATTTCCGTAGAGCTCGCCGGTGACCGGAATGTGTCCCAGTGTTCCCGCCAAGTCCACGGACAGCAGGCGGGGCGTGTAGGTGGTGCGATTAAGGGCATTTAGTCCCTCGCGGTAGAGTATATCATTGTTCGGCAGCTGTTCCTCGGCCACCTGGTCGGATTCGTCTTCGTACCTGAAGTTGGCCTCCTGCAAATGTGGATTTTGAATGATTCTTCGTCTGCCAGGTGGGTGGGCCAACTCACCTGCTGGTTCCAGAAGTGCGCACCCACGTAGTTGGCGTAGGTTCCAAATTGGAAGGTCAGAATCTCTCGAGTATGGTCCATAACAGCCGGCAAAAGTGACTAATTTGGATGCGATTGCATGTACTGCGCATAATCTATCGATTGCTATCGATTATTATGTGCGATTTAAAACGTTCCAGCTATATACCTCGGGATACCCTGTAGCAACATATGTATTGTTATATCGATGTTCGCCAATAAATAAACTTTTATTTTGAATTGAGTCTGAAGCATCCAGCACCTTTAGCTTTTAATTTAAAATGAAAATTAAAAGTATTAAAAATAACCAGGAAAAATAAAATGTCAGGAATCAATTTAAAATAAAACAACGGGTTTCTTACAGGAAACATATTTTAAAACCCAATACGATTCCAGAGAAACTCATTGATACCGGAAAATTATATTTTATTTTATTAAAAGAAATAATAAGTCATAAAATAATAAACAATATGAAACAATTTTATTTTTAGTAGACATAAAATAAGATCTTTAAAATTGAAAAGATATAATACAAAATAAAATCATTTGACAGTTATTCTGCCTTCTAATTTTAGTAAGAAGTATTGGTTTAAATTAACATCTTGACTTTCCGATCCTTGTCTACCAACTTAACTTCCAGCAATTCTTGCGATGAGAAAATGTCACTTTTCTGAAATGGGTTAGAAAATAGAGAACAGCACAAGAACTAAGTGTATTTAGAGATCACCCAGAAATCTTTGGAGATTTCAAATAAGAAATGCTATGATTGGGAGTATTTGTGAGCTTACCTTGAGGGCCTTCATGGTGATCCCTGTGCGGCAGCATTCCACGTAGAATGGTAATCTGCGGTGCCTGCAGAGAAGCGTGTGTTTCTCATGTTTCAGAAGGTCCACTGCAAAAACGGGGAATTCCCATGTCAGATTAGGACAATCGCTTACATACAGAGCACTCAATGCTTTGCTCTCCGCCATAAAACGCATAAAATCCACATCATCGAGGCTTATCCCCTGGGAAATGCTCAGTACCCTCACGGTATCCAACTGCAAAATCAGCTCCAGAAAAACCCGACTAGGATTGCACACACTGAGCATTTCCAGGCTTTTCAGTTTGATGATATCCTTGGCCTCTTTAAGCTGCAACTGGGATCCAATCCGAAGGCTCTGCAGCACATCCCGTCGCATAGTGGCTAGTAGTTCAAAAAGTGTGTCCGCACCACCCACATCAAAGTTCTCCAAATCCAGACTCTTGAGACGAGGCAGTAAAACCAGAAAAGTATAGTTCATTTCACAATTAGTGTTGACCGTCAAGTCCTCCAATTTGAGCATATAGCGGCAGACCTTTAGCATTATTTCGCCCATATTGTCACTCAGACAAAGGGTCAGTGAACGTAAGTTCTTTAGATACACACAGACAGGTGCCACAAATATGGACTTACTCCAGAGCATCAAGTCGGAGTGGGAGCTTAGGTCCTGCGCATCTGATATCGCTAGCCGTCGCATGTGTCTACCATTCAGCCGGAAGAGGTACTCAACCTCCAGCTTCGACCACTCGCAGGATCGTTCGTACCAGATAAAATTACGGAACTTATTTTTGTTTACCATCCTGTAGATCCTCAGAAAGCGCGAGCAGGTGAACGCCCAGTTGCACTGACTGCGCATGTCCAGATGTTGGAAAACAATCTTAAGACATTTATCCGGCAAACTACTTAAAGACATTTTTCCAAAAAATACCTTGTTTGCAATAAATATTTTTAGGTGACTGAATCGAAACTGAATGAAAATCTATAAATACTGAAAGTTAAGGACATGAAGCTTTGATGAAATATTAAGCTGCCCCCATTAATACGTAAAATATGAAGCTCCTTTTCCTATGTCCTAAAAAAAAACGCTTATACATACATTAAAAAAAAGTATGTATATGTATGTTTAAAATTAATGTGAAAGAAACATCTGTAATATTGTAAATATATTACTACACATTAATGTAAAGCATGTTCTTAGGGACCAATCTGTGGCACATCTATCCATGAGGGCAGCATACCCACGAGTACCTCTTTCTAAGCGATAACCAAAACAAACTCAAAATCACGTGTAAAGCTTAGAGAATTTATTCGATGGATGGATCCGCACCTGGATACACATACGGACAGGGAGTGACCTATTTGTTGAGCATCATGGAGAGGTAGCAGTTCCAGATGAGGGCGACGCACTGGGCGAAAACCACCTGGTAGCCCAACGGCACGAAGCTAAAGTTGATGATCTGGGCGGCTGGCCAGAGCATGTAGTTGCGGGCCATTATGGTGAGATAGCTTTCGGAAATGCGCTTCCGGATCTTGTCGACGGGTTCACCGTTGACCATTGGAACCAGGAAGGACATAACCAGGGTGAAGGGTGGCGCGAAGAGGCCCTGGTCGAGCAGCATCTTGGTGACGCCGCGGCGCATCGGAGTATGAGTCTTGGGAACCCGTTTCTCGAGGAAGAGGTACCATTGCCGCAGAACCGGTCCCACAAACACCAGTCCCAGGGCACTGAATCGAAGAGTTCGCGCGGCATCCCAGTCGTCCAGCGACTTCTTCTCGATGAACAACTGGGCTATTGTGTCGCCCATGCCCATTATCGCCGCCACATTGATGCCCTCCTTAACAAACGCCTTGATTCCCGTCATCATTAACTGTTGACTATTGGCTTCTTTTTAACACGTTTCAATTTTAAATCGGCCACACTTCAAACGCTTAACTCAGAATTCCCGATTCGCGGTGGCAAACATTGCTTGCGTTCTTAAAAGGGTTGTCTATTGAACTCAAAGGGGTCGGTTTCAGATCCCCAAATTGACAAAACGGAACGATGTTAAAGGCAACTCTGTTTTGAAAAGAAGGAAAATCTCAAAGCTTACGTAAATCGTTATATTTGGTAAAAAAAATATCAATGAAAAACGTAGAATTTGTCCATGCTAAAACTAAGTATTCCATTACAAGATATGAAATATGTTATAAAATAACTAAAAATATTAATATAATGTATTGCTATTCAACGTTAAAAAAATCATTTCTGGATGATAGTTTAAATACAAATCTCTGAACCTCATAAAACTATTATTCATTAATAAATAATTCAAGTTAAACAGTGTGTGATGCAACTGGTGTTTTTGAAATTTCTAGGTATGTTTTTGTGGCAGTCTATTAACGGAAAACGATCAAATAGTTTATTTTTAAGTATAACTATACAAATGCAACTAAAGATTTTATTCATGTTCATGTTGTAATTTCTGCGACATTGATTTAAAAATTCCTTGTTAGGTCTGACTCTAATATTAAAAAAAAACGTTAGAATGTGTATTTATTAAATACTTATCTGAAAGCATGGGGCAACAAAAAGTAACAATAAAATAGTTTGTGTATTTATAGTAACTACTGAAACTAAAATTAAGTCAGTAAATCAGCAATACTTGAATTCTTGATTTATATTTACAGACGTTTATTTAAAAAAAAGTAGTACATCTTAACAATCGAGCGGACGTCCCTTCGTCTCCTTTAAATAATTAATATAGTTTATTAAGAACTAACTGAAATGACTCTTTGTCTATTCAAATGTTTCTGGCGTTTTCGCAGAGGTGCCTCCAAATCCTCCTCATTTTTCACTACCACATCGTCGTCGATAACAACCTTAACCTCGCCTTTGTTTTTTCGTTTCTTTTGCTTCTCGGGGGATATGGGTTCATCTTTAATTACAATCACTTCGTCCTGAGTACTTGCAGTTGCTGCTCCATTTGCAGGGATCTGCCCATTTGATTTGTGCTTTTTCTGCTTTTTAGGTAAGACGGCCTCCTCGATCTCCACCTTGATATCCAGGGCATTTACTTCTTCATTTAAAAGTATTTGGCCATTTGATTTGCGTTTTTTATTTTTCTTAGGAGAGATGACCGACTCCCCTGGGATTTCCTCCTCGGTCCTAACCAGTTTATGTCCGTCTGCCTGAACGGATCCGTTGATTTTTTGCTTTCTGCTCTTCTGGGCGGGGGCCGCTTCCTCTCCTACATCCCCATCCACGAAGTTTTTGTAACCGTTCGGCCCGTCCGTTGTCTTCATAAAATTGGGTAAAACCCCGGTAAGCACCGACTGCCTTACATCGTTCTCCTTCTGCTCCAGAGTTTGGGTGGTGTTAAACATCTGGCTGCGGATCTTATAATAGTTGGCAGTACGTCGCAGCCTGGCTGTGGTTTCCTCGTTTCGCTTGTCCGCCTCGTTGATGGCTTTTGTGATCCCCTCGGGTACTTGGATGCGTTCCTTGTAGTCGCGCCCAAACAAAGGATGACGAACACGGAAGAGGACCCTGGGTGCCACTGCAGCAGCAGGTAAGACCTGCTCCTCATCACCTTCCGGCGGCTGCTTTGTATTCAAACGCTTGCTGACCACCACGTAGCCGGTGAGAGGAACTTTTTGGAGGGCATACTTCCCCTTTGAATTCACATAGCCGATGGCTTTGTTCTGTGGCGCCGTGTAGTTAGTGGCCCGCACCTGGAGATCGCCCACGGTTTTTCTTCCAGGCAGTTTGATGCGCTTATTGACCAGCTGGCGGGGATCCATGCCCCTGGGACACTGTAGCAGCCATGCGTCGTGGGACTGGGCATTAAAGTCTTGGAACGCATCGCCGCAGCACTGGTGCGCTGCCACGCCCGCGTCAACTTCCACGAGGTTCTCGTCCTCCAAAAACTTTCGACGAAACTCCTTCGCCTGGTGGCGAAACTCCTTCCTGAGCGTTTTATCCATGGGTCGCTTAAATACTTTAAATTTAGAGGAAAATAACGACCAAAAATCAGTCTTCTGCACGTGCTGTTGGTAGCAGTGTTGGAAAGCGGAACAATGGTCGACAGCTGTTGCTATCGATAGGTTGGCTTATTTGGCGCGCTACAATAAATGTCTGTTATTATTATTATGTTCCTACACTATCGATAGACGATTGCCCGCGCGTTGTGCAACACTCGCCCCGTTCTTTAAAACGTGCTGCGCATTTTCATAGGTTTTTGTGACCTCCGCCATGAGCCAGAAGACCCAGAAAACGGTGCAGTTCCATGAGCTGGAACTGGACCAGCGCATCCTTAAGGTATGTTTTTTGGCCTCCTGCCAGTACTGGAACTCAAAAAAATATACTTACTTTTTAGGCGGTAGCCCATCTCGGTTGGCAGCAGCCCACGCTAATCCAATCCACGGCGATTCCGCTGCTTCTGGAAGGCAAGGATGTGGTGGTACGTGCCCGCACCGGATCTGGCAAGACAGCAACCTATGCCCTGCCAATGATCCAAAAGATCCTCAACTCCAAATTGAATGCCAGCGAACAGTGTGTAAGCGCTGTGGTACTGGCGCCCACCAAGGAACTTTGCCGGCAATCTCGGTCGGTAATCGAGCAGCTGGTCGAGTCCTGTGGCAAAGTGGTGCGCGTTGCGGACATTGCCGGCAGCTCCAGCGATGCGGTGACCCAGCGACATGCCTTGGCCGAAAGACCCGACATCGTGGTGGCCACACCCGCCAAGTTGCTGGCCCACGCCGAGGCCGGTGGTGTAGTGGACCTGAAACATGTGGAGACCTTAGTGGTGGACGAGGCTGATCTGGTGTTTGCCTTCGGTTACGAGAAGGATTTCAAGCGGCTAATCAAGCACCTGCCTCCAATTTACCAGGCTGTCTTGGTCTCTGCCACGCTCACCGACGATGTGGTGCGAATGAAGGGCCTGTGCTTAAACAATCCGGTAACGTTGAAGCTCGAGGAGCCGGAGTTGGTGCCACAGGATCAGCTGACGCACCAGCGCATCCTTGCCGAGGAGAACGACAAGCCGGCTATATTGTATGCTTTGCTTAAGCTAAGGCTTATCCGCGGCAAAAGCATTATCTTCGTGAACAGCATAGATCGATGCTACAAGTGAGTAATCAATGACAATCCCCTCCACGAATCCTATGATGCCAATGAAGATAAACACAAGAATGCAGGGAGTGTGCAGCTGGCAACAGTTGGCGCACGCATGACCAGCAACTAATCTTCTCGCTGATGGCAAAGCCAGTTAGTCTTGTGTACTAACATACTTTTCGTATCAATTACTTATTTGTACCCATTTAACTACTTCAGGGTTCGCCTGTTCCTAGAACAATTTGGAATCCGTGCCTGTGTCCTAAACTCCGAGCTGCCGGCCAACATTCGCATCCACACAATTAGTCAGTTTAACAAGGGCACCTACGACATCATCATTGCCTCCGACGAACATCATCTGGAGCAGCCAGGTGGCAAATCCTCTTCCGGACGGAAATCATCTCGCGGCGGCGACATGGAATCGAGTGCCTCCCGCGGCATAGATTTTCAGTGCGTGAACAACGTTATCAACTTTGACTTTCCCAGAGATGTGACGTCGTATATCCATCGGGCTGGCAGGACGGCCAGAGGAAATAACAAGGGCTCCGTCTTATCCTTTGTGAGCATGAAGGAGGCTAAGGTTAATAATGCCGTGGAGAAGAAGCTGTGCTCGAGCTTCGCCGCCCAGGAGGGCGAGCAGATCATCAAGTGAGTACAAAAGACTATATTAAAATGTTTATATTTCAAACCCACCCATTCAGGAACTACCAGTTCAAGATGGAGGAGGTAGAATCCTTTCGTTATCGTGCCCAGGATTGCTGGCGTGCCGCTACGCGTGTCGCCGTTCACGATACTCGAATCCGGGAAATAAAGACGGAGATTTTAAACTGTGAGAAGCTGAAGGGATTCTTCGAGGAGAACAAGCGCGATCTGCAAGCGCTCCGGCATGACAAACCACTTCGCGCCATCAAGGTGCAGAGCCATCTTTCTGACATGCCCGAGTACATAGTGCCGAAGGCCCTTAAGCGAGTGGTAGGCTCCACCACGTCCTCATCCTCCACTGAGGCTTCGGCGGCCAAACACCCACGTCAGTCGGCCGCCAAAGCTGCATTCGACCGACAGAGCAGTGATCCACTGATGGTCAGCACAGTGGACGTGGGCAAAAGACCATTTGCCCCTCGGCGGAAAAAGAAGGCGCTATAAAGGAGCAACTGTCTTTAGTAAAACCTGTTACTTATAGTCTCGTTAGTCTGTTAGCAGAAAACATTTTAGCATCTTTAAGAAAATCATAAAAACTATTATATACTTAAATTAAATTTTTGTAAATATTTATTTATGGTAATATTATTAACTTGTTTATTAAACATAAAATGAAAGAGTTAGATAAAAAATGGGTTAAATCTAAGGAAAATAACAAGAGTCTAAGTCACTTTCTTTTTTATACCCTTGCAGAGGGTGTTATAATTTCAGTCAAAAGTTTGCAACGCATTGAAGGAGACATTTCCGACCCTATAAAGTATATATATTCTTGATCAGCATCACCACGAGAGTCGATCTAGCCATGTCCGTCTGTCTGTCCGTCCGTCCGTTTCTACGCAAACTAGGGTCTCAATTTTAAAGCTATCTGCTTGAAACTTCCCCAAAAGTTGTCTTTCTGTTGCAGGTATTATATAAGTCGGAACGAGCCAGATCGGGCGACTATATCATACAGCTCCCATAGGAACAACCGGAGAAAAAAAAAAAAAAAAATTTTGTTTTTAATTTTTGTTTGTTTTTTGTGATTGGGTACTATTTAAATATTATGGAATTAGGGTTTTAATTAAATTAAAATCGGACAACAATATCATATAGCTGCCATAGAACGATGGCAAAATCCAGCGCAAAGGATACACAGTTTCATTGTTTTTAGTAATATAGGCATAAAAATCGAAATGTCGATTTGTAATAACTGCAAGGGTATATAAACTTCGGCTTGCCGAAAGGAAGCATCCTTTTTGTTTGTATTAACATAGTTAAATAACATGTACATATTACTGGCATATTGTTTTTAGTTGCATACAAGGTAAACGAAGTTGATATACCCTTGCATGCTATAAAATGACTATAGACATGCTTTTCAATTAAATAGATCAGATATAGTAAAATATATCTTAAAGATTTCCTTTGGCAGATAAATGATCCGATCCGTTCCGACTTATATATATAAATACAATTGAGAAAAGACATCAAAAAGTTTCATATAGATATCTTTTAAACTTAGAGACTAATTCGGGTATAAGCGGACGGATATGCGGACATGGCTAAATGGACTCGGCTGATGATTATGGTCAAGAATATATATATTTTATGTGGTCGAAAATATCATCTTTACTACTTCAAAAGTCTGACTGAAATAATAATACTTTCTGCAATGCAACGGTATAAAAATACTTAAAAGTCACCAGCTAATGAATAAACAAGAAAGGCTGTTAATATTTTTGTACATTCAACTTTCGGAAGCTCAACAAGTGGAAGCTTGAAACCTTACTGTGTAATGATGTAAGGCGTTGAGTAACTTATAAACCACATAGACGGAGAGAGCACTACATCATGCTCACCCATTCTAACTGAATATCAGACGGATAATAAATGTACGAGTCACATTACTCAAATTACCAGCATATCGTTATAAATCACAGAGATGATTGTCCAGCCGCTGGAGACCATTTAAGCTCATCATACTGAAAATCCCGGGAACAATACATCACCATTAGCGGCGATTTAGGTAATTTCCCCAGCGAACTGCAGTTAAATGAAATTTAAGCAACGCATGGGGTATCGTTTTTAACATTTTATTATTGTCATTGAAATAGTTAACATTCATACAATTATTTATTCATTTATTTATAGCGTTTATGCAATACAATAATAATAATCATGAGGGTAATATAAAAAAAACTATTCGGTTCGATCTGCGCGCCCTAGTATATGGCCAAGTCTGCCTGTCTATATAGTTGTCTGAAACGAGGAAACGGATATGGAAACGAATAAAACAAGGGGGACAGAAGGCGGTTTCGGTTGGGGTTTCTCATACATCGACTATCGTAGTAATGACTTTTATAATATCGCTTCGTTTATCGCTAAATTAAACATATATATTTAAGTTAATTTAGCATAATCGTAATAAAACTTGCTACGTTTAGGTATAGGTATGCGCGGTTATCCCTGGTTCCTATGGACAGTAGTATTTGACTATTTCGGATGGGATGGCCACGAGCTAGAGGAACAATTGCCCTGGACTCTCTCTCTCGCTATTGATCTATATAAATATATAGTAGTATTAACTTAGGAAAAAACAACATGAAATCACATCGCAAATGAAGAATGGATAAATATTGACTGATATACTGATACTGAGGAAGAGGCACAAATACGAAATTGATGAATCTAGACTAAAATGCAGCCATACACATACATGTATCTATGTAGATATAGATCGGTACATATCTCTATAAACGTTTTGCTCTCATTATATTGTATATAATATGTATATACTATACTGATTTATGCTTTTTTTGTTACGATGCTAAAAAATGTTCGCTTCAATTCAATCCCCTTTTTCAATATCCTCGATGTGGAGTCCCACATTCGTTTCCTTCCTTTACGTTTTTTAGTTTTTTTTTCCATTTTTTTTTTGTTTTCTTTGTAACACACATACAGAACTCGTATAGATTATTGTTGCAACAAGACGTAAAAATATACATATTTTCATCAAAAAAATGACCACCGCTCAGTGCTACCGTCTCTAATTGAAGTTGTTTGTGGGTGAAAAGTATTCTGCGGATCTGAAGGAGGATACAGTTAGTTAAAACATCCTCACTTCTTGGTATATACACAAGTCTTCATATATATACTTTTGATATACGCAAAATTTCGAAAGAGTAGTAAGAACGACAAAAAAAACATTAAAATACGCCCAAAGCGATCGATTTCGCGGCATTATCCTATTCGGATATAATTGGCAACCGATCTACCGCCGCGGGTGTGTGTGTGTG